TACTTCGATAGATTCGTGCACTTGCAGGTATTTTTAATTGGTTGTTTGCACATTAAATTGTGTCCTTTTAGGAATGCAACACCGATAACATGAGGTACAGAGAAGCCCTAGGCAGTGCCTCTTGCCCCAATTGCGGTGGCCCGATAGCTATCGGAGGGATGTCATTCGACGAGGCAGAGAAGCAACTGATAATCGAGATTGCAGTGGCAGCCATGGAAGAGCTAATCAAAATGGCTCAAATGGGTGAACCCTTGTGGATGCCCAGCCTTGATGGCAACACCAATGTGTTCAATGAAGACGAGTACATCAGAACATTCCCTCGTGTTGCTCCAAAACCAAACAATCATTTCAAATGTGAAGCTTCGCGCGAGAGCCCTGTTGTTATCATGAACCACATCAACCTTGTTGAGATTCTCATGGATGGGGTAAGCTTATTTACTTGTGTCATCAACATTGAACAAATATTAATTATGTCTTTAAATAGAGGAATAACACATAAACCCTAATCATTTTTTGTTTTACTTATTATCTTGTTTAGAATCAGTGGTCGACTGTGTTTTCTGGGATTGTGTCAAGAGTTATGACTCTAGAAGTGCTGTCAACTGGAGTGGCTGGAAATTACAATGGAGCCTTGCAAGCGGTATAATATATATCTACTTTCAAAATTCTATTATCTTCTCCCTTGTCGTTAAATATTTTTAATAACATTATCTTGTCGTGGTTAATTATATGTTCGGGTTGAATATATTATTTGTGATTTGGTAGATGACTGCAGAATTTCAAGTACCCTCACCGCTTGTTCCAACTCGTGAGAGTTATTATGTGAGGTACTGCAAACAGCAAGCTGATGGCACTTGGGTTGTGGTTGATGACTCCTTGGACACTCTGCGCCCTAATCCTGCACCAAGGTCATGCCAAAGAAGGCCCTCTGGATGTCTCATCCAAGAAATGCCAAATGGATACTCAAAGGTAATGTAATTAATAATTAAACACACTATGTGTGTATATATATATATACCAACCCTGATTCATATTTGACTTGCATCATGTATTTAACTCATTACATTATTTGTTATTTAATTTTAAAACTTTTGGTGCTTTAGGTTACATGGGTTGAGCATGTCAATGTGGATGAACTTGGTGTTCACAATCTGTACAAGCAGCTGGTTAACTCTGGCAACGCATTTGGGGCGAAACAATGGGTCGCTACCTTGGACCGCCAATGTGAACGTCTTGCCAGTTCCCTGGCATCAAACATCCCTACTGGTGATGTTGGTGGTAAGAACAATATAATTTACAGTGTAAACATTTTTTTTTCTGTATATATGGTGAGAAAATTTTGTGTGGGGCTATTCTTCTACGTTGTAGTATTGTCTAACACGAGAGACGTCCTCTTAAAAGATTGCATGTGTCTAATATAGCATGTCGTGCATGCACGTGGATTCATTAATTAAGCCTTAATTTTTTTTTAAATGCATGATTAATTAGTGATTACAAATCAAGAAGGCAGAAAAAGCATTTTAAAATTGGCTAAAAGGATGGTCATAAGCTTCTATGCTGGAGTAAGCGCATCAACCACTCACACATGGACAACACTGTCTAGGACCGGGGCTGATGATGTTCGGGTGATGACCCGAAAGAGCGTGGATGATCCTAGCAGGCCTCCCGGTATTGTGCTTAGCGCCGCCACATCTTTCTGGCTTCCAGTTCCTCCCAAAAGGGTATTTGAATTCCTCCGTGATGAGAACTCTCGTAATGAGGTACGTGAATTAATTATCCTTCAAATTCTTAGGATGGTCTATCAGATCTAATAAATTAACCAAATTATTGCACGGACCTTCATGACATATGTATCTCAGAATAATGTACCAAACCTAGTACATGAACCAGGATTCGGTTGGTTTCATTCTTTACATGGCATATGCATACAAAGTCTTACCATTAGTGGACAAGCATTAGCATATCTGGAAATCACATGCACATTTCAAGTAATTTTTCTAAAATGGGAAAATGTGTATGATTTTCACTACACTCCTAATATGGAAAACATTTGTTTTTCAGAAAAGGAAAAATGTGTGTTCGGTTGGTTTCATTCTTTACATGGCATATGCATACAAAGTCTTACCATTAGTGGACAAGCATTAGCATATCTGGAAATCACATGCACATTTCAAGTAATTTTTCTAAAATGGGAAAATGTGTATGATTTTCACTTCACTCATAATATGGAAAACATTTGTTTTTCAGAAAACGAAAAATGTGTGGTCTTGTTTTCTTTTCGGTCAATTCGAGAAAAACCAAGATGGAAGTTTAGTATTCTAAAATTATTCATGAAATACATATAGAAAATGGTTCGACTAATTACTTGAGCTTCATCACTTGTGGTTGCAGTGGGACATTCTTTCCAATGGTGTAATTGTTCAAGAAATGGTACACATTACTAATGGTCGTGACACTGGAAATTGCGTGTCTGTACTGAGCTCTCTCTTATTATTATTATTATTTTAATTTTCTTAATTATTCCATATTCTGCTCCTAATCACAATTGATGAATTATTAACCTTGCCCTTTTCAAAAATGAACTTAATTTTGTAGAGTGCGAATTCAAGCCAGAGCAACATGCTGATACTGCAAGAGAGCTGCACAGACCAAACAGCTTCTTTTGTGATTTATGTTCCAGTGGACATTGTTGCCATGAATGTGGTACTAAATGGGAGTGACCCTGACTATGTTGCTCTTCTTCCTTCTGGCTTTGCCATCCTTCCAGATGAAGGAGGCATGGGGGATTCTGGCTCTGGTGGTTCCCTTCTCACTGTTGCCTTTCAAATTTTGGTTGATTCTGCCCCGACCGCCAAGCTCTCTCTCGGGTCGGTGGCAACGCCAATTTTCCTTGTGTACTCCAACCTGACATATAAGCATATGCAGGATAGTCGTTGATAGTCCACATGATTGCAGCTCGCATTTGAAAATTCTGCTTTGTAGATATATCATATGTTTCAACGCCAATTTCTCATAAGTCGTCGATGACCCGTTTAATAATTATTTTATTTTTTTGCAGTGTTTTGGGGTCGAGGAAGGAAGGTGAAAGGAGAGAAACACAGACACAGATGGTGGTAAGGGATTTGGGCTTATACACAGGAGGAGAGAGAGAAGTCAAGAGCGCATTTTTACATGATCCTTAATTTGTAACTTAATTAAGAGATTAGGGGTTCGGGATTTGACTTCCTCGAACAATGTTAAAGGCAAATTAAGCGCTTAAGACCTTATTTTTAGGATATTTGAACTTTCCTTTCAGTTTTCTTTAACATGTATTCAGGATTCCGTCTGTGCAATGGATATTTGCTCGTTTTCTTATTAAGTTACTTTTAATTTGAGCCATGCATTACAAATTCAATATAGTTGTTATTGGCATTAAAAAAATATATATATTTTTCTCTTATACTTTTTTAATCCATGCTTTCAATTTTTTCGACGACTTTTTCCGATGCAAGTTATATGCCATAGCAAATAATAACTATTTCTGACAGCGGTTAATTGCAATCGGAAATGAAAATTTACTTCTGACAACAAAAATTATTCGTCGGAAATCGACAACTATTTTCGACAAGCAAAACATGTCGTCGGTAAAATGCAATTATTTCTAACCGCACATAATTGCCCTCGCAAATAAGTGACTATTTCCAAGGGCAGAAACCGCCCCTCAGAAATAACCACGACAATTCCGACGACCATGTGTTTTGTCGGTAATACATCTGGCGCCAAGGCTTCCCGCCTAAAAACAATGTATTTCTGACATCCATAAAGACTTTTTCCGAGGGTACATTAATAGTCGGAAATAAAATGTATCATATTGACATATTTCCGACAGCCAACATTTTTTAGTCGAAAAAATGTCCTTTTGCGACGATATTTAGGGGCCATCGAATAAAGTTTGTCGCAAAAGACCATTTTTTTTGTAGTGCCCGCGCAACTTTCCCCGATATGAATATGAGAGTAATGCTCTCTTATGGCAACCGGTCATTTACTCACAATTGTGTGAAACTTTAGAAACTCACAAGTCTTTTAGTTTACTCCAATATCTTCATTTTACAAGATACTCTATCATTTGCCCACTTGTTGGGAAACAATAGGATGTCTCAATAACAAAATTGTTCATTGTGTATGTACATCTCAGAGAAGAGAAGAACTTAATTAAATTATAGAATCGTGAAGTCCACCTGAACAAAAAGTCACGCAAGAAAATGTGAATGGCCATCATGCGAACCTTGGAGATCAAGTTTTTATTTTTTATTTTTACTAAGATGCTTATCAACTTTGTTCACGCATGATGCATGCATATATGGAAAGGTTATAACTCTTGAAGCTCACATCTTGTGCCACCCTACTAAATCCCAGTGACCTAGTAGCCACACTTTATCTTTCCCATTATTTGTGTAGTGCCGAATCATTCCTAACTCGGAACAATCCGTTGACAAAAAACAAAAAACAAAAAACAAAACAAAAATCCTCATAAGTAGATGCTCAGAAAGCTGGTTCCGTCAGTCAAAGGTTGGGTACACATATAATATGTTTACATTGGAAAGAAATATATCATTTCTTTTGGCCACAGAAAGAATATATCTTTAACTGATTTCTTTTGATATTGCGTAAACAAAAAACAACCAAAAGAGGAAGTCTTAATTTCATACTCTCACATGAGCTGAACTCCTAAATATATTTGATTCTGTGTCATCTTATTTATCTTTTTCTCCTTCATAAAGACAGGTTAGCAAATTTTGAATTTTACTCTGAATTAAACTGTTCTGTTATTGTAATATTATATAAATATTGCAGGTGTGGAATTTGTGAACTTATTAAAATTTGATTTTTACCTCACAAAGTGCTCTGGTTGAAGTAAGACATGGCATAACGGATGTAGAAGGTCTTCAAATTGTAAGACTGGAGTATAAAATGTTATGACGAGTACCTCATTATTTCTGGAAGTGTTGGATATGACTATTTGAATTAGGAATACTTTCTATTTATTTGGGATTGTGCATAGGCAACAACAAATGAAATGAAATCCAATGTCTTTTCCGTATTATTTAGTTTTATTTTATGGGGAACTAACTCCCTAGCTAAGGCTAGGGAGAAAGCTTTTAATATGGGTGTGTAATTTTATTAGTTTGATCCAAACTTAAGCTTTAATGTGAATTTGTAGTTTTTGTTCAAATGGAATTTGTAGTTTTCTTTTTAATTAATTGTTGAATGTTTGATAATCTATTTTATGGGTTCAATCATGTTTTTCCCATTGTGTAGTAAAAACTTTCATGCTTTTAGAAGAGAAGAGAATTACTTAGATTAATAAAATTTTGACGAATATTATTTTTTGATAGTTTGTTGCCAATGGTACAAGTTATGCTTAGAATACTTCTAAAGGAAATTAAAAAGAGCTTTAATTATTTTGAACAATGTTAAGGCCCAAAAAATCTCAAGAAAAGCCCATGCATATTTTAAAGCCCAATGCATTATCATGCTATAAAAACAGCCTAGTCGATACATGCCATGCCATGCCAAGCAAGGCTACAATTTGACACATGGGGGTGGTGGTACACGTTTACCACTTTCACATGCAAACTTGTAAGAATTACAAGGTTTAACAAGCCCAAGCCTACCAAGCCCGCTGCACTGTCAAGCATTATCTAATGCAAAGCCCAAGCCACTGCAATACAACATAGCCCAAGCACAAGCGCGCAATAACACGCGATGCCAAGCAACTCCCTTTTAGTGTCAAATTACACAACAAGCTTAAGTGGGCCCAAGCCACATACATGCCTTGGGGCTTGCTGAGCAGGTTGTGGTGTGGATGGTTACAAGGATTCATGAGGCTCATTAAAGGTTCAAAAGAATGCAGGTTTTGGGCTGCTTGGGAGCCTCAAAATCCAAGCCCATTTTCTTGAGCCCACTAAATGGGTAAGCAGAGAGATGAATTTGTCACTTCACCAGCACCCAACACCTACCCATATGTGCAGCACCTCTCCCATACGACACTAAACCAACCATACGGCACCAAAACCTTATCTTTTCTCCCAAAAACCAACTACCCGGAACCTACATAGAATAAAGAAGCCTTGTCATCTCAACTAGGAGACAAGGGTGCATAGCCAAAGTAGCATTCGCGACCACCTTGATGTCGGAGCAACATGCGTGCATAGAGAGGTGAACTCTCAAAGCCTATAGAAGGGAGAGGAGAAACAGTCGGGGGGAGACACAACCGGGGGACACAGCCAAGGGACACAGCCAGGGAGACACAACCCGGAACACCCAAAAACACCCAAGCCTTAGCCATTCCAAACCCAAAAACAACAATCATTCTTGCTGCCGTACTCTTGCTGCGTGCTCACCCAAAAATACTCCAAGCTTTAGCCATTCCAAACCCAGAAACAACAACCATTCTTGCTGCCGTGCTCACCCCAAAATACCCCAAGCTTTAGCCATTCCAAACCCAAAAACAACAACCATTCTTGCTGTCATACTCTTGCTGCGTGCTCACCCAAAAATACTCCAAGCTTTAGCCATTCCAAACCCAGAAACAACAACCATTCTTGCTGTCGTGCTCACCCCAAAATACCCCAAGCTTTAGCCATTCCAAACCCAGAAACAACAACCATTCTTGCTGTCGTACTCTTGCTGCGTGCTCACCCAAAACTACCCCAAGCTTTAGCCATTCCAAACCCAGAAACTAGCAAACCATGCTTTTGCTGCCGCAACCATGCTTTTGCTGCATGCTTATGTTAAAAGTGGAACCCCAATGCCTTAGTGTTTTAATTGAATTTTCTTTAAACCAAATCTTGCATAAATCTACTTCTCAATCACAATTGTTCTTTTTCAGCTCTGTTATTTTCTTTACACTGCTCTCTGTGGATACGACACTCAGACTTCCGAGCTACACTACTATACGACACCTTCCCTTGGGTTTTGCAAAGTGGTACTAACAAGGATGACGCCCGAGCATGGATAGTTATGATTTCTAATGTTATTTAATGGATTCTAAGTTTCTTTTAGATGAATGTTTATTTTAATTGTTGCCATTTGTTTAAGCTTTTTGACTGATCACCTTAGGGCTTTGCATCTAGTAAATTGGAAGATGAATTTGAGGCAGAACTCGCAATGGAATTCAATTAGCTTCTTGTGATTAAATGTGGTGAATTACATTATTGCTTGACAAAGAATAATGGTTTGCTTGGTTCTCTCGTTTTCTAGAACGTAATGAATCCAACTTGTTAAATTTATGCCTTAACCAGGATAGCTTGCAGGATTGGGTATATGATATTTGTCTGAACTAGAAAAGAATCTTACACTTAAGAGGAAACTATGGTCTAAGTGCCTGAAAAGGACTTAGATACGGGAATTATCATCTAAAGAATCAAAAAAATATGTTGAATGCATTGAAATCTAACTTGGAATGCTTGTGGTTGATTCCGAAACCCTAGACCTTCATCATTGTTTTTCAACCTTAAAATTCAACCTTTTTATTCTCAATTTCTTTGATTAATTTCTTGTTTATTTCGTAAACTTTCACAACAACAATCTCTACAAATTCACTTGCGTATCAGTTAGATTTAATTTAGGTATTCAAATATTAAATTAATTGGAATCCTGGTGGGAACGATACTTGGACTTGTCAAACGTTATACTACATCATTCTTATGCACTTGCAAGGGCAGACCAATGGTCTGTGTGGTTGCCATGTATCCTTGGGGCATAATGTACTCTATAGCACCCTTCACGAGATGAAGGCACTCTATAGCCGAAGGCGTTTTATGGGCTTGTTTTGCCTATTGGGCTTATTGGGCTTTGTGGTCTGAAGAGCCTGGCCATATATGGTATAAACAAGATCAATTTGTTAAAACCTAGATTAGGAGGAATTAAAACTACCTGGGAGAAGAAGAATAGTC